TGTGTGTGTGTGTGTGTGTGTGTGTGTGTGTGTGTGTGTGTGTGTGTGTGTAGTTCAGAGGACAAATTGCAGGAGTTTATTCTCTCCTTCTGCCATACGGGGACCTAAGGGTCAAACTCAGATGGCCAGGCTTGATGACAAGTACTTTCACTCCATGAATCATTTTTGCTGGCTTAGAATAAACATTCTTATTTCTACTGGGTCTTAGAAAATGTAGGGAAATAAAATTCACCTCTGGCTATAATGAGGAATATGAAAACTGGCTTATTTTTCCTATTTCTAATCACAAAGAATACTTCTTGCATGAATTTTCAGCCCTTAGTGGGATTCCTTTCTGAGGCTAAGCTACTCAGTAGTCAACAGACATCAACTGACTATCTTTCCCTCTCCCTTTTTGGGTTTTCTAAGACTGTTTTAAGACAAGTCCTCTTACCTGCTAATGAGGTTTTCTGCAAGCCGAGCCAAGTGCTGCATCTGGGCATACTCTCTATCAGAGAGGCTATCTTGAGTTTCTAGAGAATCCAGCTGGGGTGGTGGGACAGCTTGGATTTCAGTATGCTTACATTCCCACGTTTTCATTGAGTTCTCAAAGTCCTAGACATAAATAAAGACACAAGTTTTAATGCTTATTGTAGCTATGAGTATGACATTTTGTAGGTAATATGGGGTATAGGTGGTCAAGGATAGTGATGACACCGCTACCCATTCGCTAACGCACATATTTATATACATCTCTGTCTTTCCAGTCAATGTGTCTTCTGTATAAGGTAGTTTAGCTTTTATCGTTAGTGCACTGGCTCATGGAATACTAACCTTGAATGAGGCAAAACATCTGTCTTCTAGAAGGTCAGCTATGAGGATATAGGGCCTGATATGAGAGTGGAACAGCATTTGTGCTCCATTCTTTTCCAAATGCATATATCATGTGATGGGATTGAGATTCAGACATAGACAATTTATTTTTCACTCCTGCTTTTTTACTAGTTGTGTGACTATTATAAGTTCTTTAAGCTCTCAAGGAAGAAATAAGTGCATCTTCCTCATAGGATTCCTGGGGGGACCTATATCACACAAAATATACGACGTGCTCAGCACAAAGTTGGCATTTTCTTACATGAACATCCATTCCCTCTATATTGGCATTTTTTAATTTTTTATATTAATTACAGTTTATTCACTTTGTATCCCAGCTGTAGCCCTCTCCCTCATTCCCTTCCAATCCCACCCTCCCTTCCTCTTCTGCTTCTATGTTCCTCTTCAAGTCCACTGATGGGGAGGACCTCCTCCCCTTCCATCTGACCCTAGTTTATCAGGTCTCATCAAGACTGGCTTCATTGTCCTCCTCTGTGGCCTGGCAAAGCTGCTCCCCCTTCAGGGTGAGGTGGTCAAAGAGCCAGCCAAAGAGTTCATGTCAGAGACAGTCCCTATTCCATTACTAGGGAACTCACTTGGATGCTGTCATGTGCTACATCTGTACAGGGGTTCTAGGTTATCTCCAGGCATGGTCCTTGGTTGGATTATCAGTCTCAGAAAAGATCCCTCTGTCCAGATATATTGGTACTGTTGCTCTCCTGTGGAGCTCCTGTCCTTTCCAGGTCTTACTAACTCCCCCTTCTTTCATAAGATTCTCTGCACTCTGCCAAAGGTTTGGTTAAGAGTCTCAGCATCTGCTTTGATACACTGCTGGGTTGAGTCTTTTAGAGGCCCTCTGTGGTAGGCTCCTGCCCTGTTTCCTATTTTCTCCTTCTTCCAATGTCTATCCAAAAAATAACTTCCAAGCCTGGAACAGATGATCAATAATGACATCTTTGCCATTATTGTAGCTTTTTATTTTTAGAAATGAATGACATCTGTAAATTCAGTATGTTAAGGAATCTTAAAGGATCCCCAAAGAGAGTATATTTAACAGGAACAGTTATTGAAAGAATACATTTTTCTACCACCAAAGGTCTTTAGTTTTCTGTACAGTGTAGGGTGGAGGACAACATTCTTGAAAGGGAAACCGAGTCTTTTATACAGTGTCTTGAAACTGTCATATATATATATATATAATGTGTGTGTCTATATATATAGACATACATATATAGATAGATAGATATAGACATACATATATATATACATACACATGTATGTATATATGTACATATATATGTGTATGTATGTATATTTGTCTTAAGGAGCTTGTTTACAAATGCAAGCTCTTAGAAACCATTCCTTTCCATTCACTTCATTGAGTTTGATGAGGTAACCAGGAGTATGCACTTCTAAATATCTTCAAGGTGCCTGATGCAAATGGCATGCAGAACTCCCTTTGGGGAATTCTTCTTGACTAGAAATGTGATATGTATGAATGAGGCGATGTAGGAGTTCAAGCAGCACTTTTCTCTTACCCGATCTCTCATCAACATCTGGGCAGCATTCTTGTATTTAATCTTGATAAGTCCTGGTTTCTGAATCCAGGCTTCCCCATCCACCTGCACAGGGATACCTTCTTCACCAGTAATAGTTATCATTACTTCATGACACTGTCAGAAAAGGAGAGAGAGGGAGAAAGAGAGAAAAATTAAGAAACTACTATGGACTAACCTGATATTAGGTCACAGTGTGAATGCGTATTTGAAAAGACACTGGCAAAAGATATGAATCACATCATCCCAGGAAGGAGCATGTATTACCTATGATCTTTTTGTTTCTTTTATCCCTGCCTAACGGAATGCCTACTTCCTCTAACCAGAAACTCTTATAAACAAGATTACCTCACATCCTTGTTTATTAAAAATCCTTTATTTAATACAAATATTTCACCCCATATTTGTATCCACCCCACCCTTGCTTACCTGGGCAATTCGATGATGATGCAGGTTGATGATACGAGACATAGCCATCTGCACAGAACCAAAGATTGCCACTACCTCTAGCTTCCCATCATCTATTGCAGGGGCCTCATATTCCTAAGGAAGAAGAATCATGTCACAATTCTTCCAGGAATCCATACTGTGCTTTGAGGACTACTGGTAACAATTGTTTTCTAGCATATGAAGAATAGAGAAAACTGCACTGAGTGGGAAAAATAAGGTAAGGAAGCCAAGCTTGGAAAAGAGAATTGTGGTTGCAATTTGAGCTCCTTTGGAGATCAACACTCAACCAATTTCTTCCATGTGCAATACAGAATCATGAATCCCTGAGGCCTGTTCTATTGGTTTCATGGACTTCTTACATGAACTGAGAGCATCGAGCTCATGGCTGATTTCCTGGGAGATGTTTTTACTGCCATATTTTCTTGAGATAAAGAACATAGCCTCCTGGATAATCTTCTGAGTATCTTTCAGGCTTTGGTAATGGGAAAGTCAAAACCCAGGTATCATTTGACCTCCTTCTGGGGTTCTTGTTTGATTCTTGTGCTCTGAAATGGCACCTGTTTTAACAAGCTGATCCTACACATCCTGCTAATAAGGATCCAGAGCTTCTCTCATTTCCCCTCATTGTCTACATTCCATCGCAGTCAGTCCAGCTCTCCCCTTTCTTAGACAATTGAGTAGAGTAGGGCCTATTGTCCATCCCATTCCTCATTGCACACTCACTGAGGTCGCTGTGTTGCCTCCCCAGAAGTTAACACCTCCAGCATAGCTGGTAATGTTGAGCACTGCAATGCCTTGAAGGTTGGGCAAGGAAATGAGTTCTCCATCACACTGAAAGAGAAGAGTAGCTCATATCACCTGGCTTTTCAGATACAGAGATGAGGAAGGGCTTGGTGTTCTCTGCATACTATCATTTTCTTGTCTATGAAATAGAAATAAAACCTTGTGCCTTGTTCCCATGGCTGTGAGTGGGCCTCCCAGAGTTAAATTTGGAAAGAACCAAATATAGTGGAAAGGTGATTTTCAATGTCACAAGACTTCCTTTCTCCATGCCCAGGAAACATGCCCTTTTCTACTAACCTCCAGGTGTATGCGCTCTTCCAGTTTCCTGTAAGAACGTTGCAGCAGTTCCTTGCTTCCCAGAAGACCATACCATATTTTGTTCTTAAGTCGGCTACTACAGAGGAAGAATAGAAAAAGATAGTCAGAAGGTCAAGTGGATGGGGAAAGATAGGAAGAGCAAAACATCTTCTTTCTCAAGTGCCTTTTTTTTGTTTTTAATAAAGTGCTTTAAATTAATCTTTTGAGAAATTCATATGTACACACAATGCATTTTGATTATTTTCATCCCTTTTCCTCCTGCCCAACTAATTCTTCTGAGATACATTTCAATTTTCTTATCCTTCTTGGTAGGCTGGCCATGTTCCGATATATATATCAGCAACATTAGTTGGACTCAGTGGTTTATTAAAAACAAACAACTATTTTGATTTAAATGATGATATTTGATTGTCTGGTATTTCAACATTCATTTTATTTAACTAACTCATTAATGCAACCTAGATGGAAAAACAAATGATTGTCTGGTATTAAAACATTCATTTTATTTAACTAACTTATTAATGCAACCTAGATGGAAAAACAAATTTGTAGGCAATAATTCAAACAAAAATATGACATTTTAATATAACAAGAATTATCATATTTCTTATTTATGTGGGGATTCACAGAAGTACTTTTTTTCCTCCCCTTCTTTTTTTAACTTTTTTAATTTTTTATAAATTACACTTTATTCATTTTGTATCCCCCCATAAGCCCCTCCCTCCTCCCCTCCCGATCCCACCCTCCCTCCCCTTTCTGCATGCATGCCCCTCCCCAAGTCCACTGATAGGGGAGATCCTCCTCTCCTTTCTGATCTTAGTCTATCAGTTCTCATCAAAAGTGGCTGCATTGTCCTCTTCTGTGGCCTGGTAAGGCTGCTCCCCCCTCAGGGGGAGGTGATCAACGAGCAGGCCAATCAGATTATGTCAGAGGCAGTCCCTCTTCCCATTACTATGTAACCCACTTGGACAATGAACTGCCATGGGCTACATCTGTGCAGAAGTTCTAGGTTATCTCCACGAATAGTCCTTGGTTGGAGTATGAGTCTCTGGGAAGTTCCCTGTGTTCAAATTATCTTGTTCTGTTGCTCTCCTTGTGGAGTTCCTGTCCCCTCCAGCTCTTACTATTTCCCACTTCTTACATAAAATTCCATTCACTCTGCCCATCAGTTGGACATCAGGCTCAGTATCTGCTTTGACAGTCTATACTGCAGAGGTTTTCAGAGGCCCTCTGTGGCAGGTTCCAAGGTTGTATCCTGATTTCTTCTGGCTTTCAGAGGCCCTCTGTAGCAGGTTCCTAGGTTGTTTCCTGTTTTCTTCTTCTTCTGATGTCCATTCTCTTTGCCTTTCAGGATGGGGATTGAACATTTTAGTTAGGTTCCTCTCTTTTGCTTAGTTTGTTTAGATGTACATTTTAGTGGGTTTATTCTATGTTGTATGTTTATATGAGTGAGTATATACCATGTGTGTCTTTTTGCTTCTGGGACAACTCACTCAGGATGATCCTTTCCAGGTCCCACCATTTACCTGCAAATTTCATGATTTCCTTATTTTTCATTGCTGAGTAATAAATACTCCATTGTATAGATGTACCACAGTTTCTACATCCATTCTTCAGTTGAGGGGCATCTGGGCTGTTTCCAGCTTCTGGCTATTACAAATAAAGCTGCTACTAACATGGTTGAGCAAATGTCCTTTTTGTGTACTTGAGCCTCTTTTGGGTATATGCCTAGGAGTGGTATGGCTGGATCTTGAGGAAGCACTATTCCTAGTTGTCTGACAAAGCGCCAGATTGATTTCCAGAGTGGTTGTACCAGTTTACATTCCCACCAGCAGTGGAGAAGTGTTCCCCTTTCTCCACAACCTCTCCAGCATGTGTTGTCCCTTGAGATTTTCATCTTGGCCATTGTGATGGGTGTGAGGTGAAATCTCAGGGTTGTTTTGATTTGCATTTCCCTAATGGCTAATGAGGTTGAGCATTTCTTTAAGTGCTTCCCTGCCATTCGATATTCCTCTACAGAGAGTTCTCTGTTTAGCTCTGTTCCCCATTTTTTAAGTGGATTACTTGGTTTGCTGCTTTTCAGCTTCTTTACTTCTTTATATATACTGGATATGAGTCCTCTGTCAGATAAAGGGTTGGTGATGATTCTTTCCCAATCTGTAGGCAGTCACTTTGTTTTGATGATGGTGTCCTTTGCTTTACAGAAGCTTTTCAGTTTCATGAGGTCCCATTTATTGATTGTTGCTCTTAGAGCCTGTGCTGTTGGTGTTCTGTTCAGGAAGTTGTCTCCTGTACCAATTAGTTCAAGGGAATTCCCCACTTTTTTTTCTAGCCGATTTAATTTGTCTGGCTTTATGTTGAGGTCTTTGATCCACTTGGACTTCAGTTTTGTGCAGGGTGATAAGTATGGATCTATTTTTCTTTTTCTACATGTAGACATCCAGTTGGACCAGCACCATTTGTTGAAGATGCTATCTTTTTTCCATTGTATGGTTTTGGCATCGTTGTGAAAAATCAGGTGTCCATAAGTGTGTGGGTTTATTTCTGGGCCTTCTATTCAATTAAATTGATCATTCATTCAGTTTCTATGCCAGTACCATGCAGTTTTTATAACTGTTGCTCTATAGTACAGCTTGAGATCAGGGATGGAGATACCTCCAGAAGATCTTTTATTGTAAACGATTCTTTTAGCAATTCTGGGTTTCTTGTTATTCCATACGAAGTTGAGAATTTTTCTTTCCAGGTCTGTGAAGAATTGTGTTGGCAATTTGATGGGAATTGCATTAAATCTGTAGACTGCTTTTGGTAAGATGGCCATTTTTACTATGTTAATCCTGCCAAGCCATGAGCATGGGAGTTCTTTCCATCTTCTCATATCTTCCTCTAATTCTTTCTTCAGAGACTTGAAATTTTTTCATATATGTCTTTGACTTGCTTGGTTAGGGTTACACCAAGGTACTTTATGTCATTTGTGGCTATTGTGAAGGGTGTTGTTTCTCTAATTTCTTTCTCAGTCCTTTTGTCTTTTGTATACAGCAGTGCTACTGATTTTTTTTAAATTAATTTTGTATCCGGCCACTTTGCTGAAGGTGTTTATCAGCTGTAGGAGTTCCCTGGTAGAATTTTTGGGGTCACTCAGGTATATTATCATATCATCTGCAAATAGTGATAATTTGACTTCTTCCTTTCCCATCTGTATCCCCTTGATCTCCTTCAACTATCTTATTGCTCTAGCAAGGACTTCCAGCACTATGTTGAAGAGATATGGAGAGAGTGGGCAGCCTTGTCTTGTCCGTGATTTCAGTGGGATTGCTTTAAGTTTCTCTCCGTTCAGTTTGATGTTGGCTATAGGCTTGCTGTATATCGCCTTTACTATGTTTAGATATGTGCCTTGTATCCCTGATCTCTCCAGTACTTTAAACATGAATGGATGTTGGATTTTGTCAAATGCTTTTTCAACATCTAGGGAGATTATCATGTGGTTTTTTTTCTTTCAGTTTGTTAATATGGTGGATCACATTGATAGATTTCCGTATATTGAACCACCCCTGCATACCTGGGATGAAGCCTACTTGGTCATAGTTGATAATATCTTTGATGTGTTCTTGTATTCGGTTTGCAAGTATTTTGTTAAGTATTTTTGCATCAATGTTCATAAGGGAGATTGGCCTGAAATTCGCTTTCTTTGTTGAGTCTTTGTGAGGTTTAGGTACCAAGGTGACTGTGGCTTCATAGAATGAGTTTGGTAATATTCCTTCTGTTTCTATTTTGTGGAATAGTTTGAAGAGAATTGGAGTTAGCTCTTCTTTGAAGGTCTGGTAGAATTCTGCACTGAAGCCATCTGGTCCTGGACTTTTTTTTGGATGGGAGACTTTTGATGACTGCTTCTATTTCTTTGGGGGATATAGGACTATTTAATTGATTTACCTCGTCCTGATTCAGCTTTGGTAAGTCAAATCGATCAAGAAAATTGTCCATTTCATTTAGATTTTCAAATTTTGTGGCATATACAGAAGTACTTTTTAAAAGAAATATATAATGGGAAGTAAAAGAATTGTGAGTTGTGTCCCAATTTTTTCTGAAGGAGTAAATAATAGGAAAATTATAAAAAAAATACCTAAGGATTCTGTTGAGATGGGAAGGAATTAGATTTTTCCATTTCTGGCAAGAACTTGACAATTAAATTACTTTTTAGTTATTGGAGCAATTATGAGTGAAGAGTGAATTTTTTGTGCAATAAATGTCATAGACAAGAGGTACACTGCTCATCTAAATTATATGTATATATGATAATTCATAAAAGATTATTACATATTTTACCAATAACAAGAAAAGAAAGATCTGTATGAATCTAGACATTAACTAAAAAAGAGAGAGAAATACTAATGGAGCTGTTTGATCAGCATTTGTTGTACAAAAGTATTAAAATAGTGCACTTTTCCTCATAAATATTAAAGTTTTTACATTTTTGTGTTCATGTGTGTGAGATGGAGAAAATATAAAACAAATAAAGATGACAGGAGACTTTGGATGGAATGAAGAAAAATGGGGTCATATTAGCTATTAAGATTTCCTATAAAAACAGAGAGCTTATACTCCCTAAAAGGCTTGAATAGCATTTATGAACTTTTAAACTCATAGAAATCAGCTATCACAGGGAATGTTTTGAAATAAAAAGGTAAAATATTTTTTTTTTTGTATTCTGAAACCAAAATCTTTTGGTTTAGTTATCTACAAAAATAGGAACTTAATTATACAGAATTGCAAATATACCTGAAAAAAATGATTCTGTAAAATAAATAAATAAATAAATAAATAAATAAATAAAGATAAATGGATAAATAAATAAATAAATAAATAAATAAATAAATAAATAAATGAAATAAGCACAAGTTTGGGAGACTTTCATCTCTCTATTTCTAAACTTACATCAAACCTACACTTACTAAAATTACTTGCACAGGATAGACAAAAAGAAAAATAAATCAGTGGAGTGGAAGAGCCCAGAAACAAACCTTTACATTTATGGTCAATTGATTTTTTTTTTAAAGATGCTAATACAATTAATTGAGAAGTGATAACTTTTTGAAAAGATATGGTACTAAGACAAATGAGGACTAGTGGTTGTATAAGAATGGCCCACTTATGCTCATATATTTGAATGCTTAGTGACCAGGGAGTGGAACTCTTTGATAAGGTTTAGAAAGACTAGGTGATATGGCCTTTTTGGAGGAAGTGTGCCATGGTAGGTGGGTTTTAATGTTTTCTGGTTCAGTGTTTCTCTCTTTCTCTTGGCCTGTGGATCAAGATAAAGAACCTTCAGCTACTTCTCCAGATCCATCCTGCTCCCATGCTCTCTGCCATAATGATAATGGACTAAAACTCTGAAACTTGAAGCAAGTTCCCAATGAAATTCCTTCTTTCAAAAGAGTTGCCATGGGCATGGTGTCTTTTCACAACAATAAAACAGTGACTAAGACAGTTTCTTCATGCAAAAGGGTGAATTTAGAACATCAGCTCACACCATAGACACAGAGAATAATATAAAGTACATTATATTGTGAGAGCCAAAGCAACACAATTTTGTGAGAAAATGACATTTTCAGACCTTGAATTAGATTAGTATGATACCAGAAGTATGGTCCATTAAGAAAAAAAATAACTAGGCCTTATAAAAAATCAAAATGTTTGTACTTAGTGAGGTACTGCTCAGAAAATGAAAAGATACTAATAAACAGGGAAACTTTGAAAATCATATATCTGGTAACATACTTTGTCATTATCCCAGGTCTTAAGAATCTGAGAAAGAGATTTAGTGGCAGTGGCAGGAGTGGGGTGGTCCTTATAACCTATACTTTTAATTTATAAGTATTTTGAAGCTGACTTAAAGTATATCCATAGGATAAAAGTACGAGAATGTCCCAAGAGAGCCACTCATCAGAGTCCAGAGGACCAAATCTGGAACATCAAGAAACACTAGAAGAACCCTGGATACTTTGTAGCCCTGTCAAGGAAAATCAGACCTGGAGTCCCTAGTAAGACCCAGTTAACCTTTTAGAAACAAAATAGAGTTCAATTCAATCTGTTCTCAAGAGCAGTAACAGAAATTCTCAAGGGTGGTCTGTGGACTGGAAGTACAAATGTCTGATGCCAGGGTAATTATCATAGAGGAGTCTAACTTTCAGGACATTGTGTCCCCACTAGGCTAGTCTTGGAACCAATGCATTTTACTTCCTGAAGACCTCAGTCTCTCTGTTGCTTGTCTGACATAGGAATACGTATATGTATTGCAATTGTGTGTGTTTATACACAGGGATGAGCTTCTTCCTCTTACTTGTATTGTTCTGGATGTTCGTCTCTTCTGGTATTGAACTCCAAAGAAATTTTTGCATCTAGTCCAATTCCAAAGTAGTTGTTCATTACACACTTTTCTTTGAATCGTCTGAAATTAGACAGGGCAGAATGCAGATAATAAAGCAGGGAAGAAATACAACTGCCACCAGGTGTCAGACTGTATTTGCATAATGAAAAAAATCACTAAAGGAAGGCTTCTTGCACTGGGTACAAGTCATATGGGTTCTTGAAAGGTATGTATAGATGTCTGTTTATGCCCCAAAGTAATTTGTTAGTTCGAAAAGACAATGTCCAGTCACTCTGGGAGCTTTGGTGGGATTATGGGTCATAGCAAGGAAGCAAAATTTGTAATCTTAGTTATATTTGTAGGCCTCAAATATGTGTCATGCTTTTCCACATAGAATGAAACAGTTATGGGCTAATCCCATACCTAATTTGTGAGCGTCTTAGGTATATATGTATTTTGATTATTAAGTCGACATCACTAGTTTCAGTGATGTTTGACACCTTCGTGGCACTTTCACAAAAGAAAAAGTTTACATATTTCACATTTGAGAGGAGAGTCTAGTAAAAGAGGGCATAACAACAACAATGGAACAAGTAGTTTTCAGTTTCCTGCATTCCTCTAGGGTATCAACATCAAAACTAGAGTATTCTAGAACCAATTCATACCAGCTCATGGGAACTGTACATATTCAGTCCTATTTTTGCCTTCAATGACATCTCAATTGCTTGGAGTAAGCTACAGTAGGAGGGTTTACACCAGGCATTAATTGGACAATCTTTTTGCACAGCTGGTGTTAAGCACATGTCAGGACACTGCTTACCACAACTCATAACACAGACCCATAAGCCCTCAAACAGCAATGGTAAAGTGGTTTTGTGAGGGGGGGGTATTGGAAACATGAGTAAGAATAAATTATTTAAGAAACACTTTCTAGTTGTGTCCTTCTTTTGAGAAGCTGAAAAGGGTTCAGTTTAGCTATCCAAGCATAGGGAGCTTTACATTAATCACTACAATTAGCTCAGTTTTGCCTCCCTTGACCACAGTGAGAATTTGGAGTTTCTCTGACTAATATCCCACTCAATTGATCTAAGAAAACTCAAAATGATTGAATATGGTAGAATTTGGCTGCTAGGATATTTTGGAGGAGCAGGACTGGTGAGATAAGTGTCCTTAAATTTCCTATCTAGTCCCTTATATGACCATTATTTCTATGTATCTTCAACCATTTACAATTAAAAGCAACACTGAGAAAGTAAGTCCTCTGAAATAACAACTATGCTTACAATGCATACAGCACTTAAGTGTGAATATAATTATAGCTCAGTACAGATACAAATTGAAAAACTTCTATGCCAAGTCCAGCAATTATCTTCATTTTCCATTTGAAAAAGCCATGGCTTACATTGGATAAATAACTAACTGGGCAGGTCATGCAATTAGTTAAGTAGAATCAGAATTTGACTCTGGATATGGTGAGACTGTGCTACCAAGAAGAGAGACAGAAAAGCCATTAAAAGGTCATGCAGTTGCATACTTACATCGTTTCAGGTGTAACATGTAAGTGGTCTAGATCAAGGTTATCCAGGTCTTCACTTTTGAGAGAAGATATAGAAGATAAGGTGCCACACTGAGAACCTAAACATGAAAAACATCACCTTGGATACAAATGCAAACAAAAAGTCTCCCCCACCCCTTGTGATCAGCACTGCTTTCCTTGTGAAGTTCAATAGCTTTATCCTAAATAAACATCAGTGTTCTTATGCTACGTAGGACCCCTTAGTTCCTTTTAGATGGCTATGAACTTTCATTGAGAAGAAGATAAAGCTGAGGTGTTTGCTGGCTGGCAGTGAAAACAAATTAAATTCATGGCTCTTATCAGGCTAGTATTTTCAAAGTGTCTAACATAGTGGTTGCTGTGGTAACTGGCATGAAGTAGTGTGGAGTTTCTGGGAAAAGAGTCAGGCCTGTTTGCTCTAGAGTGAGATCATGTCTAAAGGCAGACTTGTATAACCATGGTGGCAGTACTGAAGGGTAAAATAAGAAAAGAAAGACCCTTACGGTGTCTCGGGTGCATCTGATTAAAGTCCTCTGAGCCATCTTCTCCCAAGAAGAAAGTCGATGGGAAGTTCTTAACTGATAAGGTTTGTCTGGTTTCTTCATCCAGGACTATAGAAAAAGTGAAAGGAAGAAATTGAGGGATTGAAGTGGGTATGGAAGAAGAGAAGTTGAGAAGGTTGGAAGACTGGTCACATTTATCAAACATGTTCTGAGCATTTATATATGGGTAGACAATGAGACTCCTCTCTTGCTTCATGATGCCTCTTGTATTCCCCCATTCTTTTTTAATTTTTTATTAGGTACATTTTATTAACTCTGTATTCCAGCTGTATCCCACACCCTCATTCCCTCCCAAACTCTCCCTCCTTCCCTCATCTACTCCCTGCCCCTTTCCAAGTCCACTGATTGGGGAGGACCTCCTCCCCTTTCATTTGACCCTGTTTTATCAGGTATCTTCAGGACTGGCTGCAAAGTCCTCCTCTGTGGCCTAGCAGGACTGCTCCTCCCTTAGGGGGTGGGGAGGTCAAAGAGCCTGCCATTGAGTTCTTGTCAGAAATAGTCCCTGTTCCCCTTACTATGGGAAACCAATTGGATACAGAGCTACCACGGGCTACATCCAAGCAGAGGTTCTAGGTTATATCCATACATGGTCCTTGGTGGAGTGTCAGTTTCAGAAAAGACCCTGTGCCCAGATATATTTGGTCCTTGTGGAGCTCCTATCCTTTCCATGTCATACAAACTCCCCCTTCTTTCATATGGTTCCCTGCACTCTGCCGAAGGTTTGGTTATAAGTCTTAGTGTCATTTCCACGTCATTTTAGGTCCATGTTTAAAACTTTCTGTTTTCTTTTATTCTTTTTCTGTAACCTACACAGCACACATAGTAGTGAGTAGAGACTTGGGAAGGGTGATATAAAATAAAGTAGAAATCATTATTCTCTTCTACCTCTATTTTATTAGTCTATATGCTCACATAATATTTGTTCAGCCTTCAACCTCTAGGACAATGTTACTCATGTGTGTGAATGCATGTGTGATATAGGTGTATGCATGATATTATGTATATGGTGTGTGTGTGCATGTGTGTTTGTGCACACATGGGTGCAGCTACTTGTCTGCCACAACATACATGTGGAAGAGGACAACTTCGGGAATCAATTCTCATCTTCCACCTTGCTTGAATAAGATATCTCTTGTTGTTCCTTGCTGTATACACCAGGCTAGCACACAAGCTTCCAATGAGCTTCCTGTGTCTCTTTCTCCCATTTCTCCAGAGAGGAACACTGAATTAACAGATGTGTTTGTGACCACACCCTGCTTTGACATGGGTTCTGGGGATTCAACTCAGGTTGTTAGCTATGAACATCAAATGCCTTCCCTGCTGAGCCATCTCTCTGTCCCTTTACTCTTTGCTCAAATGTCTCACCCAGTACCCACGACATTTGTGATGTTACTAACTTTTTTTTACTGTCAGCCATATGTTGTACAACTCATGTGTTCAGCTTCTGCCAAGACTCATATGTGTATTCACTACCTTACTGTCAAGTCTTTATTTGCCCCATGACCACAAACTACAACCTCTAAATTTAACATGTGTTGAGGGGACAAACTAAAGATGGGTTGTGATGGAGCTATGGCTAAGTCAATTTAATTTGATCTTTATTACTACAGAAATAGAAATGATTTTTTAATTCTTGGAAAGTAACTATAGAAACAGAAAGAAAGTGATTATTTAATCATTTTACAGCACAAAACAGAGAGGTTCATTCTCAGGAACATGGCTAAAGTTTCTCCTAAAGATACCAAGGCAGGGAGAACCACCAAAGGCTAGCAGAAAATAATTCCATCTTACATGGGACTTCTGCTCAATTCTAATAGCTCCATTAGAACACATTTTATCTTACAGAATCTTTTTATTTATTTATTTATTTTTTGTTTAGTTTTCAAAGGAGTATTATGGAGGTGAAGAGGTCATAAAAATATATTCGAGAAAGTTTAAAACTTCATACTAAGCTGAAAGTTTGGAAAATGTCAAGAATTCTGGGCAATGGCAATCACTGTCAAGTCAGCAAGACTAATGTTAGGATCCCTATGCCTGACTACCAGTGTTGTAAGACATACAAAGATGAACACCATGACAAGAAATAAAGCTGACAGAGCTTTCAGCAGTGTTATTAACATTACTTGTAGTAGTTTAAGATGATTGTCAGTTCCCAAAATAGAGAAGTATAGGAACTGAGGGTCAGAAAGGAGAAGTAAAAAGGACAGCTTATGTGGACTGAAGCGTTTCAAGCCAGCAGTCAGAGGGCTGACTTGGAATGCAACACAAATGCAGAATCCAGTCAAGGGTTGTCAGTGAGGTGATAACAAAACCCAGACTAAGGGTGACCAGACTAAGTGTTCCTCGGGGGAGGAACACTTGTTTTTTCCTATCCTACTCATAGTAACTCTAATCACCTTACCTTGTTCAACCTGGAATATGATGAGTTTCAAGGATTGCTGGAGGTTCAGAGCTCTTGCGGTCAACTCCAATTTGGACTTTGCTATGTGGTCTATTTGAGGGATGAAAGGCTTTCTATCTGCTTTGCCATTGTCTGCATATGCTGTGGCTCCTTTCACAGCAGAAGTAGATGCTTCATCCTCAGCCAGGACATCAATAACAACACTGAGTTTATCATACATTAAGTCACTCTATAGAGGGAAGAGAGAAATGTGATATAGTTATGAAAGACAGAATGAGGAGTAAGGATGGCATGGGGAAGTCTAAAAGATAATAATATGCCAGAAACACTGAGCATATTATTCCATATGTAAGGTGATGAAGTTCAAGTTGTGCTGGCACCTAAATAATTGGTGTATTAAGCACATAGTATTTGTATCTGAGAAGCTTTGGGTTTCTATGCATGATCATACTTTTTCTCATGTTCAGGTGACCCTTAAATTTGTGAGGAACATGGCTAAAATAGAGAAATCGAAACACTTTTGTGTATTTTCACAAGCATGCTCCTATGGATGCTGGTGTGCATTTGCATAGTGTCAGTGTCTGTCTTTATGCACACACATGTTTTAAGAATGTGCATCCACCACATGATTTCAACTTTTTTCTTTTTTTGCTTAGTACAGTGGTACTCAACCTTCCAAATGTTGTGATCCTTTAATGCTGCTCTCATGTTGTGGTGACCGGCAGCCATCAAGTTATTTTCGTTGCTACTTCATAACTGCAATTTTGCTACTGTTATGAATTGTATTTTAATTATCTAATATGCAAGATATTTGATATGCAACCCTTGTGAAAGGGTTGTTCAAATCCCAAAGGGGTCACAACACACAGGTTGAGAACTACTGACTTAATAGTTTGTGACATGAGACAAGTTATTTAACTTCTTTGTCCCTCCACAAGTGTGAGAATTATATAAGTTGATACATTAAAAGCACTTAGAATAAACTCTGACACAAAGTGTGTACTATAAGTGTGTATTGTTACAGAGGTAAGTGTAGGTCTATGTCTTTTACATTTTTTAATGTGGATGTGGTATGCAAGTTCATGTATATGAATGTTTTTGTACATATATGGGTGCACATGTGTAGGGGGGGTGGAAACCAGAGGGTAACATCAGGATTATCCTCAATGACTTTTCCACCCTGAATAAGTTCTCTGAATAAAATTCTCAACTCGCTGATATGCATAGTCTCTAGCTAGATTGTTCTCAGAATCCCTTGTCTCCGCTTTCCAGAACTGGAATTATAATGCTCACCAAGAACTTATGTGGGTTTTGGGAGATACAAACTCCAGTCTTCACATTTGTATAGGAAGCACTTTAACTGTTGAGCCATGTCTCCAACCTGGCATATTTCTATTGTATAAACATGTTTGCAGTGTTGGGGCTAGAATTTATGGCCGTTTACATTTATAACAAACATTGTATTGACTGAGTAATATATCTACCTTATGATGGATTTATATGCAATACATTTTCCTGTATGCTTTGGTACATAACTTGATTCACTGATGCTTAATGTATACTAGTGTCTATTTGTGGGCAGATTCTTGGTATATACCTAGGTGCATGGCATGTATATATACATGCAAAGGTCTTCATTTGGGAAAGATGACAGTGATGAAATTGGGCCTTCCACATCAAGAAGATTTATCAGCTACTTAATTCAGCCATTACTTTATGATTCCCCAGTAAGAGGCATGTCTTCTTTGATTGAAAAAGTGAGTCCTGGCTCATAAAGAGAAGAGACACGGATGGGTGAGCTAACTGACACATGCCTTTAATCCCAGCACTAAGTGAGGCAGAGGCAGGCAGACCTCTGTGAGTTTGAAACCAGCCTGCTCTATGAAGTGAGTCCAGGACAGCCAAGGTTACATAGGGAAACCCTGCCACAAAAACAGAGAGAGTGAGAGAGGCAGAGAGAGACAGAGACAGAGAGAGGCAGGGAGGGAGGGACAGAGGGAGAGAGAGGAGACACTAGGAAAGAAAGCTTACTTTCAAAATCACAGACTCCACTGTTGTGTTGTTCTGTTTTATTTGCTTCCAGGCCTTTACGATATCAGCCACAAAATCTTCCACTGCTGAGCATAGGAATCTGGAAAATATTAGGTATATGACATATGTGAGGCCCAGAGTCTTTATCTCTTATAACAGAATCAATATATATCTTCCTCTTCTTTTCATCTCTCTTTCACAACATATCCTATATTCTCTGTCCTGTCTCCAACTTCCCATCTCATCCTTCTTTCTTTCTTTTATTTCTACCTGTACATATGATGAAATATACCCCTTTCACACTTAGGCCCAGTTTCATCCTGAGAGAGCAAAGAATGCAAAATTAGTTTTTTGAGTATTGGTTTAAAGTTTAAAGCACAAGCCTGAACATAGACCAGCCAGGTGGAGACATGTCTAGTCACCTGGGGGGAGGAACTACCCTTACCACATTCTTTTCCTGCCCACTAGAGATCAGTTGCTAGGAAACTGGCCCAGATGGCCAGGCCAGAACCATTTATGGTCTTGGAGTTAAAGTAAACCAATCATTTCAAAAGTCAATTTCCCTTACCCAATCATGTAACACCAAGGCATGTAACTCCCCGCTTAAGGTTTTGCCCTTTAAAAATCATCTTCCCCATGCTGGAGAGGTTGTAGAGAAAGAGGAACCCTCCTCCACTGCTGCTGGGAATGTAAACTTGTACAACCACTGTGGAAATCAATCTGGCACATTACCAGACAATTAGGAATAGTGATTCCTCAAGACCCATCTGTACCACTCCTACAAGTAGATCCAAAAGATGCTCAAGTACACAACAAGAACATTTGCTCAACCACGTTTGTAGCAGCTTTATTTGTGATAGCCAGAAGCTGGAAACAACCAAGATGTACCTCAATGGAGGAATGGATACAGAAATTGTGGTACTTTTACACAATGGAATACTACTCAGCAATTAAAAACAAGGAAGGCATGAAATTTGCAGGTAAATGGTGGGAACTGGAAAAGAGCATACTGAGTGAGGTATCACAGAAACAGAAGACTCACAGGTTATATACATTAGACATGTAATATAGGATAAACATACTAAAACCTGTACACCTAAGGAAGGTAATAAAGAAGGAGGATTCTGGTTAAGATGCTCAATCCCCATTTAGAAAGGCAAAGAGGATGGACAACGGAGGAGGGAGAAAACAGGGAACAGTACAGTAGCCTTCAACAGAGGGCCTCTGAAAGGCTCTACCCTACAGGGTATCTAGGCAGATGCTGAGACTCATAGCCAAACTTTGGGCAGAGTGCAGGGAATCTTATGAAAGAAGTGAGAGATACTAAGACCTGGAGAGGACAGGAGCTCCACAAGGAGAGCAACAGATTCAAAAAAATTGGGCACAGGGGTCTTTTCTGAGACTGATACTCCAGCCAAGGACCACTCATGGAGATGGCCTGGAACCCCTGCACAGAGGTAGCCCATGGCAGTTTAGTGTCCAAGTGGGTTCCGTAGTAATGGGGACAGAGACTGTCTCTGACAGGAACTGATTGCCTTGCTCTTTGATCACCTCCCCCTGAGGGGGACAGCCTTACCAGGCCACAGAGGAAGACAATTCAGCTACTCCTGATGAGACCTGATAGACTAGGATCAGAGGGAAAGGGAGGCCCCTTATCAGTGGTCTGGGAGAGAGGCATGAGTGGGGAAGTGGGAGTGGGAAGGGAGGAGGGAGGGAGGTACAGGGGAGCTACAAAGTGAATAAACTGTAATTAATAAAAATAAATTTTAAAAATGTCAGTTTGGACTGAATGATCAAGCTGTTAAAAAAATATGTTCCCCTAGACCTCCCCGCCACACTCCTCCTCTTCACAGGGAGGTTGCTATGACCCGGGCTTGAGATTGTATTAAACAAAACCTCATGTGTTTTGCAAGGGACTTGACTTCTGATGGTCTTTTGGGGTCTCAAAATCTGAGCACAACAATCCCACTTCCCAAATGATGCACTTGAGAGAGGTTTGCTAGAATTTCTTAGTGATGGTTGTTAACTACCAGAAAAAAAAAGAATTTATTTCGTTAACATTTTCAACTTGGGTCAACCAACTCTGGTTCAAGGGCTACCTGATAAAGTATAAATGCCAAGAATTTTTACTCCCAAGAGTACTAAGAAAAATGAATGACCCAAATATTTAGGGGGGTATGTGTTGCTTGTGTTATAAGATGGCAGACATCAGGACCAAACATCTGCTTTCCCTGGCACTGACAGGTAAGGTGTCAGTCCCTGGACCCTGAACACTTGGCTTAAACTTCCTCTATTTCCCTAACTTCTGGGGCTGACTAGACCTAGGACCCTGAATCTTCAGACCAAACTTCTGTCACCCACTAGTTCCTGATGCCCAGAGGTAAGGACTCCCCAGAGACCACTCCCCACACTTCTCTGGATCCCCTAGTTCCTAGACCTGAAAATCAATCTCCATTGTGTCAGCCCCAAGCCCACAGTTCTATTCGATGGACTATTGGTATAATGTTGTTTTGGATTGTATACAAATAATCCTTGTTCATTCAAATGCTGATTTCTCTAACCCACTATCTGGTTTCAATCAGGACACTGGATTGTGATGCTGATTCTAAGCATCACCTGTCACAAGTTTGTGTAAACTTGCCAAAATTGTTCTCTGTAATTGTCAGTTATATAACCTGCCAGTACTGTTCAATGCTGAGAATAGGGTGGGACATCTGGTCTGGAGGGGAGGAGAAAGAAGCAGGGGAGAGGGAAGAGTAGGAGAGAGAGAGAGAGAGAGAGAGAGAGAGAGAGAGAGAGAGAGATCAGATCAACAGGAGGAGACTTCAAACCACGAGGAGAGATGAACCAGACCTAAGATATGACTAATAGCAAGTTTAATGGGTGAAATCTTAATGGTAGGAAACTATGTGAGCTTGGAGGTTTAAGTGAGAGAAACTTAAAGAAATCCCACTGAAATCAGGGACAAGGCAAAGATGCCTACTCTCTCCATATCTCTTCAACATAGTTCTGGAAGTCCTTGCTAGAACAATAAGACAGTTGAAGGAGATCAAGGGGATACAAATTGGAAAGGAAGAAGTCAAAGTATCACTATTTGCAGATGATATGATAGTATACTTGAGTGACCCCAAAAATTCTACCAGGGAACACCTACAACTGATAAATACCTTCAGTAAAGTGGCCGGATACAAAATTAACTCAAAAAAAAAAATCGGTAGCCCTCCTGTATACAAAAGACAAAAGGGCTAAGAAAGAAATTAGGGAAACAACACCTTCACAATAACCACAAATGACATAAAGTACCTTGGTGTAACCCTAACCAAAGAAGTCAGACTTGTATGAAAAAAATTTCAAGTCTCTGAAGAAAGAATTGGAGGAAGATATGAGAAGATGGAAAGATCTCCCATGCTCATGGCTTGGCAGGATTAACATAGTAAAAATGGCCATCTTACCAAAAGCAATCTACAGATTTAATGCAATTCCCATCAAATTGCCAACACAATTCTTCACAGACCTGGAAAGAAAAATTCTCAACTTTGTATGGAATAACAAGAAACCGAGAATTACTAAAACAATCTTCTACAATAAAAGATCTTCTGGAGGTATCTCCATCCCTGAACTTAAGTTGTACTATAAAGCAAAAGTTATAAAAACTGCATGGTACTGGCATAGAAACAGAATGGTGGAACAATGGAACCGAACAGAGGACCCAGATATAAACCCACAAACTTATGGACACCTGATCTTTGACAAAGATGCCAAAACCATACAACAGAAAAAGATACCATCTTCAACAAATGGTGCTGGTCTAACTGGATGTCTACATGTAGAAAAATGAAAATAGATCCAAACGTATCACCCTGCACAAAACTAAAGTCCAAGTGGATCAAAACCTCAGCATGAAACCAGACACATTAAATCGGTTAGAAGAAAAATTGGGGAAGAACCTAGAACTCATTGGTACAGGAGAAAACTTCCTGAACAGAACACCAACAGCACAGGCTCTAAGAGCAACAATCAATAAATGGGACCTCTTGAAACTGAAAAGCATCTGTAAAGCAAAGGACACCATCATCAAAACGAAACGACTGCCTACAGATTGGGAAAGAATCTTCACCAACCCTTTATCTGACAGAGGTTTAATATCCAGTATATATAAAGAAGTAAAGAAGCTGAAAAGCAGCAAACCAAGTAATCCACTTAAAAAATGGGGAACAGAGCTAAACAGAGAATTCTCAACACAGGAATATCGAATGGCAGAGACACACTTAAAGAAATGCTCAACCTCATTAGCCATTAGGGAAATGCAAATAAAAACACCCTGAGATTTCACCTTACACCCATCAGAATGGCCAAGATGAAAAACTAGAGTGACAACACATGCTGGAGAGGCTGTGGAGAAAGGGGAGCCCTCCTCCACTGCTGGTGGGAAAGTAACCTTGTACAACCACTCTGGAAATCAATCTGGCACTTTCTCAGACAACTAGGAATAGCGCTTCCTCAAGATCCAGCCATACCACTCCTAGGCATATATCCAAAAGAGGCTCAAGTACATAATAAGGACATTTGCTCAATCATGTTTGTAGCAGCTTTATTTGTAATAGCCACAAGCTGGAAACAGCCCAGATACCCCTCAACTGAAGAATGGATGCAGAAATTGTGGTACATCTACACAAATGGAATATTACTTAGCAATGAAAAAATAAGGAAATCATGAAATTTGCAGGTAAATGGTGGGACCTGGAAAGGATCATCCTGAGTGAGCTGTAACAGAAGCAGAAAGACACACACGGTGTATACTCAGTCATATAGACATGTAATACAGGATACACCTACTAAAATCTGTACATCTAAAGAAACCAAGCAAGAGAGAGGACCCTGACTAAAATGCTAATTCCCCAACCAGAAAAGGCAAAGGGGAAGGACATCAGAAGAAGAAGAAAAAAAAAAAAAACAGAAAACAAGCTAGAAACCCGTCACGGAGGGCCTCTGAAAGTCTCTGCCCTGCAGACTATCAAAGACACTGAGACTTATGGCCAACTGTTGGGCAGTGTGCATGGAATCTTAAGAAGTGGGAAATAGTAAGATCTGGAGAGGACA